TCCCCGCCTCTTCGACCTGTTTGTTTCCTCTCCACCTATCCTCTCCTTTATCCCTCTTCTATCCGCATCCCACTCTCTCCCTATTTATTTCAAAACCCCCTTCCCCTCCCCCTTTTCTGATGAAGGGTCTAGGCCCGAAACGTCAGCCTCTCTGCTCCTATGATGCTGCTTGGCCTGCTGTGTTCATCCAGCCCTGCACCTTGTTGTCTCGGATTCTCCAGCATCTCTTATCCCCGGTGTTGTGCTGCTTGGCTCCTACCAGGAGCTCTGCTGTCATTTTGTGTTATTCTCTTTTGTTTTGTGCTATTCTCTTATCCACAGTAGTTAGTCTTCAACCTCTGTGGTATCCATTTTTTGTGTCAACTCCTCTCTCTGCTGCTGTCCACTTTGCCCTCTAGAAGAGATCTCCACAGCTTTTTAGCTCTGGTCAAATGACTGAACATCATACTTTGTTTCTGGATGTCACTTTTCACTGTTGCAGTTTCAAACACCTCTTCATTTGTTTTATGGTCTGTATATGGAATCTTTAGTATATATCGTAGAATCCACATCATAAAAACTTGTTTCCTTCTACAAATCTTTATTAGTTGTTCAGGTTCCGAGACACACTGCAATGTGAATAGAATATAGCACCTCATGATCTTTTTTTCATATTTCAAGCTTGAATTTTCTTGTTGCTAACAAATCCTTCACCTTCACAAAATTATTTCTGGTTATCACTGTCCTTCTTCAGACTTTAGTTTTGCATTTCTCAAACCTCTTTAACATTTTTCCTACATAGACAAACTTATCTACTTGTTCCAGTGTGATATCATCCATTTCAATCTCCACTCTGGTTTCCTCTAATGTATTCCTTTTGACTACCATTGTTTTTATCTTTTCAGTTTTTAAATTTAATTCTTATTCTAAGCTTTGAGGCTTTGCTTGCTGCATGACATTTTTTAACGCCTCTTCTGACTTTACAAGTAATACTGAGTTTTCAGCACACTGCAAATTTGTGATGTTCTTGCCTCCAAATTTTTACCCTTCGAAGAACCACTGATATTGAATATCTGTTCTGGAAACAAACTAATTAATTTTCAGCCTTGTCAGATATTTCTTTTTATTTGTAACAAGTCTGACTATCCAGCTTCTAAGTCAGCCTACTAACTGTTCCCAACGCAGACTCTGGGTAAATCTCACATCTTTGAAACATCAAAGTCACAAATTTCAGCATTACATCTATCAGATATTTAATTCTTGATATTTATAGAATATTCTAAAAGACAGTTCTTTCATTAAATATTCTCTCTTCTCTCTACTCCAAGCCTAAATCCAGATTTCATTTCACCAATATCTACTTCAGATTGTTATTGTTTCTTTCTACCAGGGTTTTCAAGACCACTTTAAAATGAGATGACTTGTTAAACAAATGGTCCTAAACTGATTGCACTCCATTGCTTTAGGTTTCTTAGGTATCTTACCAAATCATGAAATGTCTCAAGTTACTATGAATGTATCTTTTGATATATATTTTATCACAAATTTCTGTCATCTCTTCAATTTCTGCAAGGACTTTCAGATGTGTTGATGTTATTTAATGCATGCCTGGAGCTTCTCCTGTGATCATCAACTTCAAAGCATTCTTTACCTCTGAAATCATAATGTTTGGTCATTTGCCTCTATGCCTTGAAGGATTCCAATGTTTGGATCATTGTATAATTTACTTGGATAAACCAGGAAATCCACTCCCTACTGAAGTCCAGATGTGCAGCATTCAAGTCGGATAATCCAGACCATTACAAGAAACCCAGATATGACCTCTACAAAGCCTTCAGGGATGCCAAGAGGCAGTACTGGACCAAGCTAGAGGCTCAAACCTACCAAATGACTTGTGCCGCCTGTGGCGAGGCCTAAACAATGTTACGGGATACAGAATGAAGCAGAGCAAGATAGCGGACAAAGCCACATCCGTCCTTGATGAGCTCAATGCTTTCTATGCTTGGTTTGAGCAGAAATGCCAGCGGCGCAGTGACACCTGCCCCGACAGCCCCAGGCACACCTGTTCCCTCGGTCACCGCGACGGGCCTGGACAGTGTCCCCAGCTGAGCACTCAGATCGTGTGTGGACCAAGTGGTGGAGGTATTCACTGACATCTTCAACCTCTCCCTCCTACACGTGGAAGTCCCCACCTGGTTCGAGAAGACCACCATCATCCCTGTAACTAAGAAAGCACATGTGATGTGCCTTCATGACTACCATCCAATAGCTCTGACCTCAATAATCATGAAGTGCTTCGAGAGGCTAGTCATGGCCCACATCAACTCCAGTCCCCTAGCCTACCTCGATCCCCTGTAATTTGCCTACCAATGTAACAGGTCCACTGCGGATGCCATATCCCTAGCCCTACACTCATCCCTGGAACATTTGGATGGCAAAGACACCTATGTCAGATTCTTGCTTATTGGCTACAGCTCTGCCTTCACCACCATTATCCCTCCAGACTGATCTCAAAACTGCATGACCTTGGTCTCGGCTCAGCCCTCTGCAATTGGATCCTCACCTTTCTGACCCATAGGCCTCAATCAGTGAGGATAGATAACTGCACCTCCTCCACAATAACACTCAACACAGTCCAGACCATCACGGAAGCCAACCTTCCATCCATGGACTCTATTTACACAGCTCGCTGCTGCAGAAAGGCTGCCAACATCATCAAGGACCCACTGCACTCCAGTAAGAAACTCCTTCAACCTCTTCTGTCAGGCAGAAGAAACAGAAGCCTGAACACACGCATGAGCAGGTTCAGGAACACCTTTGGGTTCAGGAACAGCTTCTTCCCTGCTGTTATTAGACTGATGAATGGACTCTCTAGCCTCAAATAATGATTGATCTTGCCTAGCGCACGCCCTGTGCAATGTAACTTATACCTCTGTCTAAGTCATTTTGATCCTTGCTTACTTTGATCTGCCTGTTCTGCTCATAAACAAAGCTTTTCACGGTACTTCGGTACACATGACAATAAATCAATCACTTATATATTCTGTCCATCGTTTTGCTATTGCATCCCTTTCAAATAATATTTCCATCTTTGTCTGCTTTGTATCCACTGTTTGTATTATCCTTTTCTTTCTACAGCCGAAGATTTCACCTCCTGGTGTGTAGCTTTCATTCTGATATATTTCCAGTTCTTGTACTTCATCAGACATCTTGTTAGACAAATTCTCTTTAGTCTCCATACATGCATTCAATATTCTCTTTCAATTTCCTCAAACTCGAGTGTTTCTTTTCTTTCCCTTTCCTATCATCATCATTAGTAACTTATCTGTCATCCACTCCTTTT